CACTGCAGGAAAACAGCCTGGGGTAGGGGTTGGGAGCCCGAACTCTAAGGTGAACTTGTGTGGCCTCAGGCAGGTTCTCTCCTTCTCTGAGCCTCAGTTTCCCATTCTGGGAAGAAGGTAAGGGTTTTCTGTAAAGGCACATTTGCAAGCTGCAGATGGAAAATAGACCCAAAGGTGCTCCTGATGGCTCAGACCAGTGGGCCCAGACACATGCATCTTGGGCCATCTAATGGACAAAGTGGGAACTGCAGGCGGTTCCAAAGCTGCCCACTATGTCAGACCCCGTTGGGGAATCAGGGCCACTCAGGAGAAACTGCAGCTCTTGGGGCAGCAAGCAATAGCCAGGTGACCATAATAAGAAGAGGCAGGGGCAGTGAGAGACGGTCCAGCGATTGCTCCTGATGGAGGAAATCAAAGGAGGCTTCATGGAGGAAGCACTATCCAGGCAAAGGAAGCCCAAGAGAACTGAAGAGGACTGAACGCAGCAAAACAGTCAGAACTAGGTGATGTATGCAGAGGAGTGCAGTGCCGTGTGCTGGCGGGAGCTGGTATGTCCTTGGCCATGTATCCATGTGTGATGTGTGTATTCACGCGTCAGGTGCCACCACGTGGCTATGTGGAGGGTCACAGCCTGGTCTCTCCCAGCTAGAATTCTGGGATGGGCGTGTTTAGAAGGAAGGGATGCCCCAGTCCCTACCCCAGCCCCCCCCCCCCCGCAAACTCACCCTGAAACAGAGATATTGAGACAATCCCACAGGGCTCCCTCCCTTTTAGTCACTAGCCAGCCACCCCACCCCTCTTTGTAGCTGACCCAGCCATCCTCCCATCTCATTCACAGAGGGCTTAACTCTTGGGGTTTCTTGCTTCTCCTCCCCCAATCCCATCAGGATCCCATATGCCTTGGGTGCCCCCTGGCCTCTCAGGTCTTTGTCCATGTCATTCTCCCACCTCAGCCACCCATCTTCCAAGTCACCACCAATAAGGATATGACCTGCTGTATCATCATTCAGAACATCCCTTCTTCTGAACACACCCCCTGCACTCACTATCCCCACTGCCACAATTCTTCCCTCATTGCCTTGAGCCCCCCTTTCTCTTTGCCCAGCTTGGATCCAGGCTCGGTGCTACAACCATACCCTTAAAACACTCCCCAGAGGCCTGTAGCTGCTTCCCTTCTGCAGCTCTGCCCTGCATCCTGCATCACCCCTTTTCCAGCTTCACTGGATTATTCCCATCAGCAATCAGGCCATTCCCTGATTCCCCTCCTTAAATGAGCATCCCTGGACTCACATCTCCCCTCAGCTTCAGTCCATTTCTCTCTGTTCCCTGAGCATTTGTAAAACTTCACCAGTGTTGCCCACACTCTCCATTTCCCTTTTATCTCGCGTACTTCCTTGGCCCTGTCCAGCCAGGCTCCCATCCTACTGCTACAATGAAACCCTTGTGTTCAGGTGGCCAAGGCCTCGGGGGCCTCCAAGTTCTTTAACCCCAGAACCATCAGCTGTTTTCCATGCTTCCTTTCTTCCCTCCTGGCTCTTGGGGCCCCTCATGCACCCAGGGTCTCTCCCACCTCATCGCCCATGTCTCTGGGCCACCTCTCTCTACACACCCTCTCCCTGGTGCCTCATCCAGGATCAGGCCTGGGGAAGCGCTTCTTAGTCTGATGACACCTGACTTGATAGCTCTCCCTCTGCCCTCTCACTTGCTTTGACATCCCCACCATCCTGTCCCAGAGGCATCTCGACTTTGACGAGGACCGAGGACTCTCCATCTCTCATATGATCACCCTGCCAGAAACGCATAACCTAAATCTAATCTGGAGGAAACCCCAGACAAACCCAAATTGCATAAGATTCTCTACAAAATACCTGATTTGTGCTTTTCAAAAGTGTCAGGGTCACGAAAGATGAGGAAAGACAGAAACTGACACAGATTAGAGGTGAGTAAATGGATAGGATGACAAGACGCAGTGTATGATCCTGGGTTGGGTCCTGGTCCAGGAAGAGCACGTTAGTAGGGCAACTGACAAATATGAGTGAGGTTAGCAGATGAGTTAGTAGTGGCCTGGGTTTAATCATTGTCCTATAGCTATTTAAGACATTAATGTTTGGGGAATCTGGGTAAAGTGTAAATGGGAGTTCTTTGTACTATTTTTGCAAGTCTAGAATTTCAAAATGAAAAGTTAAAAACTGTAAAAAAAAAAAAAACTAAAGGAAAAAAAGGAACTTTACTTCCCAATACTCCACAGCCAAGAACCTGTGCCTCCCCAGGCTTCCATATCTCAGGAAATGGCAGCTTCATCCTTCACGTGAAAGGTCATTCCTTGATTCCCTACTTTCTCATAACTCACAGTCCGTCCTTCTAGTTCCAAAACATGCCCTGAATCCCTTCACCTCCCTCCACCCTTCTTGCCCCACTGTGCTGAGAACCACAAGGCCTCCTCACCCTAAGGTTGCTGAGGCTCAGCTCCTAACCCAACACTGCCTTTCTGCTCCTGAGATGCTCCAGTCTCTTTCCCCATGCCCTCCCATGGCTGGTTCCCTGTGGTTCTTCAGGCCTTGTCTCAGTGCCACCTCTTCCAGGAAGCCTTCCTGGACCACTCTACTTACGGCCACCACACCTCCACAATCCTCATTCCAGCACTGTGCTGGTTTCCTCACTGCACTCATCTCCCTCTTTGTCTTCCTGAGTGGATTGTAAATTCCATGAAATTAGGGACTGGGCCTCTCTCTGAAGGGTCCCAGCATCCAGCCTGTGCCAGGCACAGGTTAGGTGTGACTAACCCATGGAATGGTACACTGGCTGGTGGTGTTGCCCACCGTGGCCTTGCCTCCTCTCCTGAGATGTCATTTTTCTTGGATGCACACGTAAGTCCTTGAGTTGTTCAGCTCCCAAGGGCAGGCCTGAGGGGACCCATTCACTTCTTCCCCCAGGTCGCTCTAGGGACCAGGCAGCTCCCGCAGGCATTGGCTTCCACTGGAGGTATCTCCAGAATTCCAAGACCTTCTCCGGAATGCAGGGCCTGTCTGGGGAATGCCAAGGCTGGCACAGGCGGGGAGGCTGTGGAGTGGCTGGGCGGAGCAAGGACAGCTGCTGACATTCTGACTAGAGCCTAAGCACTGTGGCAGCTGTCCTTCTTGCAAGCACCGCTGTTCACACCTCCACTCTCTCGCAGCACCTCCCCCACTCCCCCAAGACCAGCGTCACTGTTGCGGCTACAGCTCTGGCCTGGACATCCCCACCAAACTGAGAGCCACCAGGCCTCGGGCCTCCATGTCCTGTCAGGGAAGCAAAGTAGGTTGCTGGAGACTCTGAGGGTCACAGGAACTAGAAATTATGCCCACATGGACCTGGCCCATCAGACAGAGTCATTGCTGGGAGCTAAGTAGCTCTGCTCTCCCCAACTCACTAGAGGACCCTGACAGATACCTATGCCTCTCTGGGGCCCAGTATCCTCACCTGTCAAATGGGTGAGCGAGATACAGTAAACGATATGCCCTTTGGTCCCTGGGAGTCAATGTTGCCAGAGGGAAATCAAAGTTGAGTGGCAGATGGACTAGAGGTGCGGGCCCACTAGGCCCCATAGTGCCCGGCTTCTCCTCTCCAACCAGACCTCAGCTGGAGCTGGGCTCCTGTGCCAAGTGGCATCCAGGGCCTAGCTAGGTGCTGCAGCTATTTCTCTCTCCAAGTATAGCACCTCTGGGCTGCCAACTGGCTGACCAAAACCATGCCTCCAGGATCCTGTTAAATGCAGATTCCTGGGCCACCAAAGACTCCAAGTGCTGAATCACTGTAGACAGGGCCTGGACAAGAGCAGTTATAGGAAGGGGGCAGGCGGGGTATGGAGCGTGGGAGTCGCTGATCTAGCCTAACCCCTCCTGCAAAAGGTGCTGTGCAGGGGTGGTTAGAGCCCAGGCTCGGGCATGGGGAAAGACATGGTCATCAGGGCAGGAGTAAATGCTGGCGAAGAGAGTCCACAGCCCCTGGAATGAAAGCCAGACACCAGTTCTCCAGGGAGCAGGGCTTTATTTTCATTCCCTAGGATAGGGCTGGGGAGGTAGTCAGGGAGGGCCTGCAGTCAAGGACTCACCCAGGCTCACATCCTGGGGACCCTGGCCCCTTGCCCCACCCCAGGGCCCAGCTGGAGTTGGAAGGTGGCACAGGCAGCTCTGGGAGAAGGTCGGCCTCTACTCCACCCCCTTCATGAACTCCAGGAACTCTGTGGAAAGAGTGGCAGGCATAGGTCAGAGATGGGGGCTGGCAGGGTGCGGGCAGCGGGAGACCCAGTATATCACCCCCTCACCATCATAGTCAATACGGCCATCATTGTTCTTGTCACCATCCTTCATGAGCTCCTCAATGTCATCCTCCGTGATGGTCTCGCCTGTAGCCTGAAGCATTGTCTTCAGCTCCTCCAGGTCAATGTAGCCGTCAGCATTTCTGCAGGGAGTCCCAGGCAAGGGGGGTGTCTCAGAGCTCACAGTGACGGCCGGGGAGGGGAAGAAGCAGCCCCACCCACGACCCAGGGAGGCAGGGCCGCTGAGAGATGGAGTGTCCTACTCCCCCATTACACAGAAAGGGAGACTGAGGCCTGGAGGTCATAAGACTGCTCCTCTTTCCCCAGCTCTGCTAGAGCTGGGGTCAGAGGTCAAGGGTCACATGCTCACTTGTCAAACATGCGGAAGAGATCAGACAGTTCCTCCTCAGACTTCCCTTTGCTGTCATCCTTCATACACCGAACCATCATGACCAGGAACTCATCGAAGTCCACTGTGCCACTACCTGGCGGGGGGGTGGGGGGGGGGGGGAGGTGGTACGGCTGTTAGAGAGGGATGGTCAGAACGACTGGTGCTGGCCTTGACCCTAGACCCCGTTGTTCTCACTGCATCCACACATCAACTTCGTGAAGGAAGGTGGTCATTATGCCCATTTTATATTTGAGATGACTGAGGCTCAGAGAGGCTACACAACTCCTTCAAGAGCACAGAATAATAAGTGGCAGAGGCAGGATCCAGGTTCCCAGTGACCTGGGGGTGCATGAGTCTGGGGCCCGGTGGGGCAGAGGGGCTCACCATCCTCGTCCACCTCGTCAATCATCTCCTGCAGCTCCTCAGGTGTGGGGTTCTGGCCCAGCATCCTCATCACCTTGCCCAGCTCCTTGGTGCTGATGCAGCCATCCTCGGCGCCCAGCACAAAGATGTCAAAGGCTGCCTTGAACTCTGTGTCCGATGTGGAGTGGGGGACAGAGTGGCCAAGGCTCAGCAGCCAGGACCCCAGAAGGCAAGACCCCTGGGGCCAATCTGCTCACTTCCCTCTGAGACCTTTGAGGTCACAGAGAGAGGGACCCCAGCCTCTGTTCTCCAGCCTGGGGTCCTCATGCTCCCCCAGCCCAGCCCTGCTGCCTCCCTACATGTGTGTTGGGGTACTCACCATTTTTCTGCTCTTCTGTCAGCTGCTCTACCTAGAGAGGAAAAGAGGTCTCAGGACTGGGCTCCAGGCTCTAACTGCTGTTGAGGAAACCAACCCATTCCACAGGTGGAAAGACTGAAGCCAGGAAGACGCAGGCCATTTCCAAGTCACAGAGCAGAGGCCTCAGTCCTCCCTTCCTGCCCCCAAAGCCCTGAGGTGACCCAGCTGGCCTCAATGAAATTGGGCTCAGGGCCAGGGTGACAGGTGGGCAACCCTCCAGTGCCAAGGTGACCCTGAGTGACAATAGTTAGTGACCACTCACTGCCCTATTGGACCCCTGCTGAAACCCAAGCTGGGTGGCCTGAGGGACAGCTGTCCCTCAGGTTGGGACAATAAAACCAGTGTGGGGGTAGGTAAAGCCACCCACTGTAACCTGAGCGGGGTGGCCACTGAGCTATTTTTAACAGGGGACAAAGTTAAACCTGGTGATTGTTCTGGGGACTCTGGCATGCAGGGGGTGGAGCAGTGTTATCTGGCCCCCTGGCCTGCTGGTGCCTCAGGAGCCAAAATTAGTCCCCAGCCCCGCCAGGCCTTGTATGGGCACAGGCGGAGGGCTGCTCCCCCCAGCTCCATGGACTACTGCAGGATAGGAAGGGGTGCCCCCAGAGTCAGCTATAGCCCTTCCCTGCCTAGGAGTAGGGCCACAATCCCAGGGCTAAGGCAGGGATTCCCTTGGGGACAGCTGTCTATACCAGATGTCCTTGTCTCTGAAGCAGGGGGAGGTCAGCAAACCCCTCCCCCCACAAGATGGAATAGTATCTGAAGCCCCTCACCCCAGAAGGCTGCAGATACTTGGGGTGACCACTCTCCAGCCCTCATCCCTGGCTAAGCCATTGAGCCCTGAGCCTGCCAGGCCAGATGGGGGCTTGGGCTTCAGTTCTCTTTCCTCCATGCCCAGTCCTTCCCTGCCTGCCCAAACTTCAAAGCCTCTTCTCCAGCTCAAGGTTCTGACTCTGCTGCCCCCCACCTCACAATCCCTGTCACCCCCTCCCTCCACAGCATCTTCAGCCAGCCAAGGGGCTGGAGGGGACTGGGGGATTATGAGTGTGTGAGAAGCAGAATGTGAGGGACAGAAATGTGGATGAGGACAGGGAGAGAGCGACAGAGACTCAGAGATAGCTTGGAACAAAGAGATGGAAAGAAGCCGAGAAAGTCAAAGATCCAGAGATCAGAGACACAAATGCAGAGAAATGTGGCTGAGAGACAGTGATACAGACTACAGACACTTGGAGACAGGGACAGACATGATGCTAAAAGGTGTGACCTCCTCCTCCACCCGCTATGACAGGTCCTCTCCAGTCCCTGAATCCCTTCAAAACCCAGAACACCAGACCCACCGTTCCCTTGAGGACTTGAGCTGAAAGTATGTGGGTCCTCTCCTGGGTCCCAACCATATCCCTGGGGTGACCTTGCCCCCTCCCCGCCCCCATTCTGAGATGAGTCAGCCCCCAGTGGGCCCACCCAGCCCAGTCCCTCACCGCAGCCTTGTAGATGTCATCCATGCTTGGCGGCTCACAGGGCAGGCTGCTGGGGTTGCCAGGCAGTCAGTCCTGGACTTAAATAGCCCTGCCCCAGCTGCATTCTCGGCCCAGCCCACCCCAGCTTGTAGCATCCTCCACCCCCTCCCCTGGTCCTGGTGATCTCAGACTGGCCTGAGTCCCTGTGCCCTCTGCCCAGGACAAGGAGATGAAGGGCTGTAAGGACCAAGTCTCTTTCCCTTTGTTCCCCCATGGCCCTCAGTGGGCTCTTTGAAAAGTTTTCTTGAATGAATGAAAACATGAGCCCAGGACAGGACAGGAGCTGCAAAGCAGTGGGGCCCAGGCCAGGCCCCCACACAAGCTCAACCTCCCATCCACTCAGGGGGGTGAGTGATATTACTCCCACTTTCCAATACGTCGTAAACTGAGGATTCTGGAGGGGTGGTGGCTTGGCCAAGGTCTGGCTAATTTGGCAGCCCCTGTCTTAAACTCTGCAGTGGAGGGCAGCTGTATGCAAGGAGAGGCTTGGGAGTATAGGGCCCTCTAAGAGAAGCCTGGAATGCTAAGCTCTGAGTACAGTGCTATGAACTGGTGTATAAGGAAGTGACTGACCCACCTTAGGACTGAATGGTCTGGAGCCCTTCAGCCAGGGGTGCCAGAGAAGCCACACCCTGGACCTCTCATTTCCACATAGTACTAGCTCTGGGTTTGGGTCAGCTGCACTCCGTCAGCCAACAAACACACCTACAGTTACCCCGTTGGTGCCAGACTCTCCCCCAAATTCCGCCTCCAGCTGGGCTATCACCTCCCTCTTTTAGGTCTGTGTTTGCCCCTGGGTTAGGGCTCTGTCTCTGTGCCTGTGTTTCCCATTCCAGCACTGTAGTTCCTGGGTCCAGGGCTAGTCTGTCACCTCCCTCTCAAGCTCTGGTAGGTCACCATATGGGAGTCTTGTGCCCAATGGCCAGCACGTGCTTTAACTCTTTCTTCCACCTTCACCCACCCCCACCATTCAGAGCCCCATCTTGATAACCACACCAGCTCCCTGTCTTGTGAGCCGGACACTGCATGAATTAACCCACTCAATTCTCCAGCAGCTCATGTAACTAAGATTTCCGAGTGTTGGAGAGGTTAAGAACTGGTCCAGAATTACTCTGCCCCTGTTTAGACTCCATACACAGCTCATATCTTCTTCAGCCCTCTCTTGCCCTAGAGAGAATGAGTCTAAGAGCCAGCGCGATTAACTGCCTCCCTTTTTCGGAGGGGGAAACTGAAGCCAGGCGGAGCAGTGACTTGCTTCGGGTAGCCGAGGGCGTGTGGAGCTTTCTGTCCTCCCTCCCGGGAACCGAATGGTTAATGCCCAGAACCACCTTCACGATGCCTCAGTTTCCCCCTGGTTGCTAGGAGCGCGGCGGGCGGCGCCACGCTGGTACATATTACGCAAGCGGCCTGGCCCGTGCTACCTGCGCACGCGCGTCGTGAGTGGCTGCTGTCAATTATGTGCAAGGGGCGGGGCAAAGGCGTGAGGAGGAGGAGGGGCCAAGATGGCGGCGCGGGGCGCGGCAAAGGCGGGGAGAGAAGGGAGCCAGGGGACGGTGGGAAGCTGACCCCGCCCCCTGTTGCTGCCAGTCCGCGCCGGGAGGCGGTGGAACCCGGAATATGGCGGCTGCAGCGCGCAGCTTTGAGCCGGAGCGGGAGGCCGAGCCGGCCAAGGAGGCGCGCGTCGTGGGCTCTGAGCTTGTGGACACGTATACGGTGTGCTGGGGGCGTGGGTGCCCGAACCGGGGGTGGCGGCTGGAACCCCGAGTCTGAGTCGGGGGACTGGGGAGAAGGTCTGGGTTCCACAACCGGGGAGGAATGGGTAGGGGGCCAGCGATTTCGAGGAAGGGGCCTGGGATAGGGGTATCAGGGGAATGGATCCGGGCCCCGTAGGTCCAGGAAGAGGGTCCTGGGGTGGGGCCCCGGGAGGAGTTTGGGGAAGGGTACGCGTTCAGGAAAGGAGGCTAGCGTTGGGGAGCATCTTGGGAGGAAGGGGGTCTGGGGAGGAGAGGGTGTCTAGATGAGGCGGAGGCTCCTCTAGATCCTCTAGGCCTGGAGGGGCGCGGGCTGGGAGGATATGAGAGGGGGTCCGGAAAGAGGGGGATTAAAGAGGGGGTAGCTGATGGATGGACTCAGGGGGAAGGGTCAGGGCCCTGCTGGCCACGAAGGAGAGGGGGCGGGGCCTTGATCTGGGGAACCTGGGGTCGCAGTTAAGATTTGCTCCAGATCTGGGGCTCGGCGGCCCTGGGGGTCCGGCAGAGACTAGAAAGGGGGAAGGGGGAAGCCCAGATACGGGGACATTGAGGGTTTCGCTCAGGGCCCAAAGTGTAAGACCACCTTAGGTGTTTTCGTGGCTTTGGGGCGAGTTGGGGAAGAAGCCCCTCCCACACATTCACACAAACGCACCCTTCCAGGCTATTGGAGAAACGGATATAAAAAGGGAGGAGAGTTTAGGGCTGTGATGGAAGCCTTCCTGGGTCTGGATGGGGTTGGACGCCAGGTCTATGGGTCTGGTAGGTTCTGGTTCTGAGGTGGTACTGAACACCTCCCAGCCTCCTATCCTTTGTTCCCAGGGGGTGGAGGGCTTTGGCCCTGCCTTCGCCCCACCCTCTTGGCCCTCATCCTAACCCCCCTCCGGGGGTCTCTCCTCTGGCTCTTTCTCCTTTCTTGGGCAGGAGGTGGGAGAGGGAAGCTGCCAGGCTGGAAGAGGGGCTGGGGGCGGATCCTGGAGCAACAGGCCAGCCCTGGAGAAATGGCTGCTCCTCTGTGGATGGAGGCTTCAGCTGAGTTATTTTCTTCTCCCCCATCCCTGCTTGCTGCAGTGAGGGACGGGGCACTAGGACCAGGGGTCCTCCTCCAGGTGAGGGGTGAGGTCTCTAAGCTGATGGCTGGCTGGAAATCACCCTGGGGCTGCATTCAGCTGGAGGGTCAGCTCCAAAAGCTCTCTTTTTTCGGCAGGACTGAGCCCCTCCTCAGAATGGGTGTGGGAAATATGGTGATCCAGGCCAACCCTACCATTTGGCTTGGGGTGTGTTGAATTGAATATTATTTACACGCCTACCTTTTATTGAATACTTGCTGCATGGCAGGCCCTGTACAAAGCATTTTGCACGCATTACCTTATTTGATTCTTAAACCTACCAGATTTTAAGATGGAAGAACTGAGAGGCTCAGAGAAAACTTAGGCTTCCCAGTCACTTATATAAGTGACTCATCCATAAGCCACAGCCAGGAAATGGTAGTCAGGTTTTGAACTCAGATTTTCCTTGACTCTAAGGCCCAGTCCCCTAACCACTAAGTCATTTTGCCTTCTGTGAGGGCTTGATAGTCCATCACCACCCTCCCGCCCCACCCTCCCATTAGCTTCTTGATGCCTTGACTCCTGGCTCAGCAGCAGAAATCACAGTTGTGATCCAGCTGAAAGGGTTAGAAAAGGGCTTGCCTCCAAGATATGGGCAGGGCACCTAGGAAAACATACAGCAGAGAAGCTGGCCCTGCCAGACCTGGTCCTGTTCTGCCTCCTTTGGAAGTGGTGGCCTTGTCTGCAGCTCAGGTTGGATTGGGCATTAAATTACCTGGAGGCTGGAGGTAAAAAACTAAAGAGATGGTTTGATATGATAGTCGCCTTTTCCGTTCCTCACTGTTGGATAGAGCCACAGACTTATCCTCTGTGCCTGCCAGATCCAGTGCTAGGGCCATGGAGGGGGCCCTGCTGCGCAACAAGAGTCAGGTGCAGAGGCTGGTGGGTAAGGGCAGCCTAACTTGTCTTGTGGGTTCAGAGGGTCTGGAGATCCTGCAGCTATTGCTGGGGGTGGGGCGGGGCTCTCCTTGTTACTGACGAGGCAAGGGCTGCCTGTTTTCCCTCTTAGGTTTACATCATCCAGGTCACTGATGGCAATCATGAATGGACAGTCAAGCACCGCTACAGTGACTTCCATGACCTGCATGAAAAGGTAACCCTTGAGAGCTGGGGGACCTGTGTCTCAGGGTTTGAGGCTTTTAGGCCAAGTTCTCATTGTGCCATGTATTAGTTTTAGGGCAAAACAGGCTCCATGCCTATAGTGTTCTTTGTTAAACCAGTTTATGAATGTAACTGGCAAAAAAAACTGGTGGATCCTGGGATTTCAACCCTAGCATGAGACGGTATACAAGGAGCATATTTGAAGTTCAGTTTTAAGATTGCCAGTCCTAGCTTGGATGTGAGATGCTGGGACAGTTTCCCAGTGAGGGAACAGGTTTGAACTTGTTCAACCTGATTACGGCTATTCCACAGCCTATACATTAAACTGGCTATGATTCCATTTCTTTCTTTTGGAGAGAGATGCCTTTCTCTGGGTCATTTGCAGCCTGAGTGTTTTAAAGACAGGCCACTCCCCTGATTGGTTTTCGTTCTGGTTTAGAAAAGATAGTGATTTTCGGGGTCTTTCTGAATGTCTCCAGAGTGTCCAGATGGAGCTCCCTGTCTAGAATTGTACTGGTATTTCTGATACTAACTGAACTTAATGAAGCCAAGTCCAGATGCACTGGTTTGATCACTAATCCTGGTACTGCTGCCACCAGGGGCTGGGGAAGCCACGATGGGTGTCTGCCCTCAGGCTGCTTGCTCGTTTGGGTCTTGCACAGTCACAGAACCTCTTGGTCTGTGGTTGACATGCTTATGTTTTCTTACAGCTTGTTGCAGAGAAGAAGATTGATAAAAATCTGCTGCCGCCCAAAAAGATAATTGGGAAAAACTCAAGAAGCTTAGTGGAAAAGAGGGAGAAAGACTTGGAGGTCTACCTCCAGACACTCCTGGCCACCTTCCCTGGCGTGGCCCCCCGAGTGCTGGCCCATTTCTTGCATTTTCAGTTCTATGTAAGTTCCTCTTAGGTTTCCTCTTTCACCTATAAACCCACAACCACCCAAGCTCAAGGCAGCAAACTAGTGTAGTCCTCAGCTTTGAGGGGAGATGGGCTGGAGTTTGATCCAGAGGTAAGAAGATGGAGGAATGTCACCCTAGCAGGGATGGGATGTGGGCAGAAGTATGTTCACTGACAGATTTGCCTTACATTA